ACCATTCATCTCTACTTTAAACTCTTCCTTTTGCACTAATTTCAATAAAAGCTGTTCGGCCTTTTTTAATTCTCCTAAATCTAGAGGCCCAATTCTTTTTGCTCTCTTTGCTCTTACAATTATAAACAAATCTACAAATAAAACTTAAGACACGATTAATTTTAAAATAGTCATTACTAAGGTTAAGTAAATTATTTACAAAAAGAGTTAGTAGCAGAATCAAGAAAAAAGTTAGAAAAGTCACTACAGTTTTTAAGTTCACCTGGATCCTTGATCACTGCAACAGGAATTTGTCGTTGTGGGTACTGGTTGCTCATCAGAAATTTAGGACCATTCCACCACAACTCACAGGTTTTAAGTTTTAGAGAATCCATTCCTCTGGAAACGAAGTCGGCAGGATTGTCCTCTGTTGCCACATAACGCCATTGCTCACTGGAAGTCATCTCCTGGATTGTAGCAATCCTGTTAGCCACAAAGGTTTTTAGTTGATATGACTCCTTCCTTATCCATGACAAAACTATCATGGAGTCACTCCAAAGAAAAGTATTAGTCACATTTAATTTCAAAGCTTGCTTGACACGATGCACTAATTTTGCTAACAGCACAGCGGCACATAGCTCAAGTCTGGGAATCGTTGTTTGCTTGGTAGGCGCAACTCGGGATTTACTGGCAATAAGATGCACAAGCATCTTTCCATCTGAGGTTATGGATTTGCAGTAGACGACAGCTCCATATGCTGACTGGGACGCGTCGGAGAATCCATGCAGCTCGATCACTTCCGGTTGCTCTACCACAATGCATCGATTGATGTTGATGTCATTTACTACCTGAAGTGATTCGACAAATTGTCGCCATTCTCTATTGATTGTATCTGGAAGCAAATCTGTCCAATCAATCTTTAGCATCCATAATTTTTGAAGGAAGATTTTCGCCTTCGCCACCACAGGACCTAAAAGACCTAGAGGATCATATATCCTGGCGATGGTTGACAAAACATCCCGTTTGGTATTTAATTCGTGCAAGTCTATTTTTACTCTGAAGGAAAAGCAATCATGCTTGGGGTTCCAATAAACACCCAACACTTTTATCTCTGATGAATCTGAAAATCATAATTTTCGGAAACCTCAATCAATTCCGTATTATTTCCGCACCACTTATGCAAAACCATACCTCCTTTAGCGAAGATATTGATCAGTTGATTTTTCAGTTCTTTTGCTTCTAATAAGGTCTCTGCACCGGTAAGTACATCATCTATGTACATGTCACTCATCACAACTGAAGAACCTAATGGAAAATTCCCTGCTTCATCTAGGGCTAATTGTTTTAGCGTACGTGTCGCTAAAAATGGTGCACTCGTTGTTCCATAGGTCACAGTTGACAACTCAAACGTTTTTATTGGTTCGTCCATGTTCTCTCTCCACAGAATGCGCTGAAGTTTACGCTGATCTGGATTAATCCAAATCATTCGATACATTTTTTGCACATCCGCAATGAATGCAAATATATGCTTTCTAAAAGCGAACCATTATTGAAAAAAGGTCATTTTGAGCAACTCCCCATTGTATTGTAGAGAGTTTAAAGAATAACCGTTTGTAGTTGCACTCGACGCATTAAAAACTACTCTCAATTTACTTGTTTTTTATCAGAGCGATAAACACCAAGATGTGGTATGAAATACATTCCACACTCCTCCTCTCTCGTCTACCTCTTGCATATGGCCTAGCTCTTTATACTCTTTTAAAAAATCTCTATATAATTTTAAATAGTTAGGCTCACGCTTTAATCTATTCCATAAAGAATTTAATTTTTTAAGGGCAATATCTTTTGACTGGCCTAAACAATTTGGATCCTTTTTAAATGGCATAGATACTATATATCTTCCCGTACTATCTCTAGTATGATTTTTTTGAAAATGCTCCTCACAAATTATCGTTTCCTTATTTTTTTATTGTCTCAGGTTCAACATTTTCGATTTCCCAAAATCTCCTCATTGTCTTTTCTAAATCGACATTATCTTTGATTAACCCACAGTGAGGTTTATTTTCACTAGAAACTGGAATACTCCCACTCGCAATATAGCCGAAGACTGTATTCTGAAAAATTAATTTTGTATTTAAAATATTTGTTTGTCCTGGTAAAAGAATTTCATAAAAGATTTCTGCTCCCAACAATAAATCAATATTTCCCGGAATGTTGAAATTTTCATCCGCTAATTTCTCTCTACTGAAATTACCCAAACTAACGTTAAATGGTTGAGAAGGAATCATATCCGTTATTCGCGGCACTACAAAAAAGTCTGCATTAGTTTCATAACTATTTCCTCGATTTGCAATTGTTGCATTAACGCGCGATTTAATCGTTAACTCTGAATTATTTAATCCTGAAACTAAAATGTTTATTTTCTCTCTTTTTAAATTGAGTCTATTCATACACTGTTGCGAAATAAAAATTGCTTGTTGAACCACCGTCCAACAGTGCTCTGACTTCCTGCATTTTCCCCAAGGAATCTCTAATGAAACAAATCGCGGTTGCAAGTAAAACGGATTTCGATTTTACGTAACTCGTTGCAGTAAACAGATCTAAACCCTGAGAAGACACCTCTTTCGAAATCTCCCTATGTAATTTATGGGTTTGAACACAGACGCCTTCGCTGAAAGTTGACTCATCGAGGATTCCTCTGTTTCCGGCTCTTTCTGCCCCCAATGAAGAAGGTTGAATGACCCTTTCACTCGTAAAATTTGGGTCTCCAGAGAAACACAAGGAAGAATGATGCTTTTTTTTTGCAGCATTTACAAAGAACTTTAGATTTACAAAAACTTGACTCTATGCAAATTTAAACAATTAAAACACAAGGAATTATTTTTAACAAGTTCTACCCGTTTATTTACTGATAATTGCTTATATTGAGGACATTTATTTAAAAATGACTATCAGATTGACACAAAACACATTTTTTTCCCTTGACATCTGAGAAAAATACTCTAGACATATTTTTAGAATTTTGATTTTTGCGACAATAATTAATATTCTCACTCAGTGGTTTTCCTCGCGATGAATAAAATAAATCAATTTCTTTTCCCAACGTTAAAGGATCAAACCATTTATCTGCTTGTCTGACACTAATATGCGATGCGGTTTCTTTATCTAAAGTACTAAATATTTTGTCTGAAACTATTAATTGTTTTAATACCTCGAAATTTGAAACATTTCTCAATTTTAAATAGTATTCCCAATTTGTTGTTAATCTACTCGCAAACTGGACATGGGATTCACAATTTTGTCGTGTTGCTTTCTTAAAATTCTCTAAACACGATTGAGGAGTTGGCTCAAATTCTTGAGTATTATGGACTTTATTTTATCATCATAATTTTTAAGATCCTCATCGTTCAGATATATAATGATATTTGCAGCTTTTTCTCCTAATAAATTTAACAAAATCTCAGGCTTAAATTTATCAGTAACACTTTTGGCTGCAAATGCACGTTCTAATGATAAAAAAGAAACTCCACCCTCAGGTTTGTCGGGAATTTTCACTGTAAGTGTGCGGATACTTTTAATTAAAAAGAATCCACAGAAAAGGAATCATTACAATTAACTTCAGTATTATTGTCTTTATCATTTGCTCGTATTCTCGCTATCTCTAAATCAAGCTTAGACTTTTCTCTTATTTTTCTAACTCTAATTGCTGACTTTCGTCATACTTCCTTTCTTCGATAATTAAATTTGCTAACTCATGCACTGAATCAGGATCGTTTTTGTATCTATCACAGTTTTTTATAAGATCCATGAAGTCTAAAACAGTTAGTTTATCACTCACACACAACTCTAATTCAGAAGCGATTCGCCTCAAGTCTTCTTTTTTGCTCCTTTAAACATCGTTAAAGTTCGATTTTTTAACGAAAGTCAAAAACTACAGCACATACCTCGTATTTTTCAATGCATAGGTCGCCCGGCTCGACGGACCAGAATGTTGGGTACACAAGTAAAAACTCATAAAAGAATTCTCTCTCAGTAAGTGGACTGTAGTTTTTATTACTTGTTGCTCAGCTTGCTCGTTTCGACTCCTTACTCGATGGAGTCAGAGGTTACACAGATTCGTTAGACACTCTGAGCGCTAGAGGGCGCTCTACATTTACATACGTACACTTAACAGTTCCTATATATTTACTCAAATTTCTTCCGTGTATCATTTTAAAAACTATATTGGAAAAGTTACGAAACTCCTATTAGCCAAAAAGCAATCAATATTGTCGACAAATAATTGAAACTAGACAAACGCAATTTATCCCGGAAGTAATATCTTAGACTAAAAGCCTTTGATATGAATATTGCAATATTTGAAATTGATATTGAACAGCTAGATAACTTCGCAAGACTATTTTATATTTTATTATAAAAAGTTTTAAGAGTCACGCAACTGTTATGGGAATGCTATTAAAATATAAATATGTTTACGAAACAGATAAAGCACATATGCGTATGTGAGAAAGAAACAGAACATGCATTTATGAGAGACCGCGAATGCTTGTGTGAGAGTTAGAGAAAGAACAATTAATACAAAAAAATAAGTCAATTCCTACTTCAGACAACAAAATTTTTTTTATTGTAGTTACATTTTATTAAATAATTACATTTAAAATAAATATGTATATAAATATGACAAAATCAGAATATTAAGTGCGATATAAAGAAAGCGATTTTCATTCCATTTTCTTTTTTATATAAGGTATTGGACTATTACTTTTGTTTGTTACTATTTATCCAATAATTAAATTTAATAATTACAATAAAATAGAAAAGGAAAAATAAATCACATTCTCAGAAATTAGGCCAACCCAGGTGGGATTCGATTGATTAATTGATTGAATATTAACGTCGCACTGTTCAGCTACACGAGGGCTTTTGGCGACGGACCACGTAATTTTGAACCATGGTCAAGTGACGTGGACGACACCTGAGCTGGCACCCCCTTCTCCTAACTACCACACCACACCAACGGGAGGAAGTTGGGATTCGAACCCATGACCTTTGGATTAGTAGTCCAAAGTGCTATCCATTGCACTACAGGGACACAACGATCGATTTTCTTTTTTATATATGGTTTTGGACTATTATTTCTGTTTGTTATTATTTATACATCAATTAATTAGAATTAATGAATTAATATTTTAAAAAACTGCATTAACATCAAGTGTCATTCACTACAAGTTTTAAAAAATATATTTTTGAACTTGAGTTGATGAATAAAAACTATTTTATTAACGATTGGAAATTTGAACAAGATAAAACACACACACACATATATATATATATATATATATATATATATATATATATATATATATACAGGGACTTATAGTAGTGGAGTAGACTTATAGTATGAATTGAAAAAGAGTGGAATATAAGGAAAGAAAGAGAGAAAGAAAGAACTAGAAAAGAAAAATGGAGAGGACTAAATGAAGAGATAAATGCGTGGGTAAACAAATAACAATTTACAAAAAAGAAAAAAAAATTTAATGGTTACAATTTATTTAATCTCGTTGCTCGTTTTATTATATCATCTTCTGTGAAATTATCTTTGTTTTATTGGAAACTGATTTGTGTAATATTAGGAAATCTGATCGTGGTTTTTATAATTCGTATAGAACTCCAAACTTATACACGAAGCAAAAACAAAGGTAGGTCTCCCCTTTTAAATTAAATTCATAAGATTATTACCCTTAAAGATAAAACAATAATGAGCCCTAGTCTGATAAAAGTAAAATAATCAATTTGAAATTTGTAATATAGTAAAAACGTAAGGAAACAAATTACATAAATATGTTTTGAAAACAGAATAATAAATTGCATCTAATTCTTTTAAACTACTTCTAAGATTGTAAGCACACCCCAAGATAAAATATTTGTAATCAGAACTGTAGGTAAAAATGTGTGGGCTCTCAGCCGAAGTACAGCATTAGGAAATGAGCGGTAATAATAATAATACTAGCGGGCCTCACAGTGATAATTTTTGTGTTCCGCCAGAGTGGAAATGGGCATCATTTTAATTTTTATGTACTCATAGCGAGCTAAAATCCTAAAATTAAAAATGCATCTTAAAGTATGCGTAACATTTTAAAACTCTAGCTGACATTTATTAATTTTAAACATTTTAACTATCTTCTATTATTACTTTCTACCCTTATCAATAATAACTGCAGCAAAAGGAAAAGTAATGAGTGTATTCTGATATACCTCTTCGTATATATATATATGTCTATTATATGCGTCTATATACATAAATGCAGATAGAGTAACGAAGTAATATATCGCAAATAACTTAAGACGACTGGGTACCCCAAGAATAACCGAACTATCGTGTTTTTTTATTATTATTTTATCTTATTTTTTGTAGTATTAACTTTCGATTGATATATCACTTTTGCATATATGAAAATTAGAAGCTCGATAAAACTTCATTAGAAAAATGTAAATGAATGAATTAGGCAATTCAATCACGTTCTCTTTTTAGAAAAAAAAAAGCTGAAAAAAGCGTTTTGGTAAAAAAAATCTATTTGAAAAATGAAATAATAACTGTAACGTGTAATATATAAAGTAGAATATTACCGAGGCATTACAATAATGTAATTTTTCTTTCTTTGTAAAATGTGTGCATACAAAATTTTCGAATTAAGGCATCTTATATTTATAAGTTCTTATTCCTCATATGTTTTTCATATAAATATATTACTTCAATATTACTTGAAGAAAAACTAAAATTTCTGTCAAGACAGAAAAAAGAATGTTTTTTTAACATTTTTCTTGAATTTTCTTGTGCAATTAATACTCTCTAAAAACTGATCATTTATGAAAATGTATGGATTGAAAAATACGAAAATGCAGTTATTTTGAAGAAAAAAAAAAAACTAATGTCTTAAAGTGGTATTTAAAGTTCATTTAAGCTTATTACAGCTAATTTTTCAGAATTATAAACTTTAAACTGGTTTTTCTCAGTTTTTTTTTAGTATATTATTGCATTCAAAACGCTACTGCTTCCACAATTCTTCACCAATCACTTCCATGTTTTTCCTCTGTGTTACATATAAAGCATATAACAAAACCAGGTATCCATTTTGCTGCAAAATGAATACTTTTTTTTAAAAAAATTTATGTAAGAGATATTGGCTTTTTCGTTGATTTTTAGCATACATATCAACATTTTATTTTTTTCTCTCCAAAACTCATTAAGTTATTGTAAAATTGATCCCCAAAGTTGTTAATAGCATCCTTAAGAATATTACAAAAAAAATCAGGTCAAAAAATTATAAATTACAAAAGGAGTAGAATTTTAAAATTTTCCAAATTTTTCTCGAAACTTTTAAATTTTTAAAATTGTGTTAATAATATGTGAAAAATTTCATCTCACATCATTTTTCGCAAAAGAAACATTATGTATGAAATGCTAAAATATAGTTTTCAAATACATAAATAAAAAAAAAATTATTCAAAGGGTACCAAGTTTTCTTAATTTTTTTGTTATTTGCAAATCACTTGAATAACTTCGATGTGCATTTGTACTTCGAAGCAATCCAACGATAAAGACTTATTTTAAAATTTTAAAAATAAGTATTCAAATTAATAAAAAAATATTAAGAATCACGAAACTATCTTCTCTACGGAATTGGAACGCACCTATGCACTGTTTCTGAATACCCTACGCTAACTTAGTATTTTTTTACTCCTGAAGTAGGAAATAAATTTAAAATGAATGATCCATTGCGCCTTAGCTCTGGGCATATATTTAGCAAATAATTTATTAATATATATCTGTATGAAATCGATATATTTTGCTTTACATCTTAATCAACTCATTTCTTTTACAGGCACGAAGCTTCCAACCCAACAATACTTCTTGCAAACCCCAAAAGATTTAACAGCTGTCGAAGGCAGTACAGTCGATTTGCAATGCCAAGTGGGAGCTCTTGCTGGAGATGTACAGTGGAGCAAGGATGGCTTTCTATTGGGTAAGTGGAATTGGCTTTTATAAATTGAAAGAGTATCGTTGGGTTCACTTTACCTTCTCTTAATTTCCCTCACATTATTTTCCCCTCAAATTCGCTTCCGTTATTACAGGGTAGGGATGGATGGCAGTCAACTTTTGGGTATCTGAACTGATGCTCAGTCCTCAATCCCATATCAGAAAGTCTGGATGTGTACTTTACTTTTGTTGGATTTCAAAGTCTGCGGAGTAGCATGCAGGCTATTGGTTGCAACAATGGGATCCGGGAGGCGGAGCGTCGTGGCTTGAAGTTGACAGGAATTTTGATATTGCTGAGAGCTGAGTGGATGCTCTCTGATTGGTTGGAGGTAGAAGTGAATATAGCTTCTGGCTGGCTGCCAATGGGGGATACAGGCTGGGGCGTGGAAACTTCCTGTTTTATAAGAGGTTGCAGTAATGTTCGTAGGAAAGGGAGGGTCGTGGGGTGGGGTTCGGTGAAAAGGGTAAAGTGGGATATTTATGTTCTTGCTCGTCCCAGTCTCATACATGTTGTGGTCGAGGCAGGAAGACATTTTTGCCGTGGAGGTGTATTTATCTAACGGTCGGTCGGTCATTACAGTGCAACACGCCTTTCGCCGTCCCTTCGATATTCCTCCACGACGTCGTATTCCTGGTCGAAAATGAGTTTTAATATGGATGAATGTCTTTAGAGCAACGGGGAATATCTCCAGAGAAAGAGAAGGACCTCCGAAGACCGTTAGAATACCTTAAAATGTGAAAGAAGTTCGTGTATCAATGCAGACCGGTATGTGAATTTGATCCAATAATTCTTCTTACCCGCTCTTCAAGAAAGAGATCTTGACAAGGTGGAGTTGCAATAAGATGAGGTGACAGCCCATACCTCCAGAGTTTCCATGGAGGTTTTAAGAGCAGCCTTTCCCGAATTACTGATCTCCTTGCTAGGGGAAGTACATTGGCCTGCACGCTTACCTGATTTATCCCTTCCTGATTACTTCCTGTGGGATTATTTTAAGTTCCTGGACTTTCTGTGGACTAAAGTTGCTGGTTTACAAAGATCGCTCCAAGACCCTGGAAGATTTATGGAACAACATCCAAGCCGAAATTGACTATATCCTGGTCAATATTCTTGAAAAGTTTTCGAAATGGACTGCATCAGTGACTTAATAATGGAGATTGACATTTAACAGACATTGTGTTTAAAACTGTGTAAATTCAAAATTCCAATGCTGTGTGGTAGGCGGAAAATAACAATCAAGTCTAATGAAACATGTAATGTATTTTGTTACGCCTAAACCTTTATTTAATTAGTAATTTGTACTTAGGAAAGGATTTCAAACATTTTTCGGTTTTTTTAGCTAATACATATCAAAATTAATGAAAAATAAATTCTTCGAAATTAGAAGATACTTAAACACTGCGGTACTATTCAATCGACAAAAATTGGTCAAAAAAATCAAATAAACAATCTTAATAGGGGACCCTAATATTTGGCAATGTTTCTCTAGGTCCCAGAATGAATCTGGCCATCATTACTTCAGTGTATCTTCATTACAACTTTTAAATTACAGTTCTGTATATAAAACACAACAAAAAATTAAAATAGTTTTCAGTATTAAATACCATTATATATTTTTTTTCTTTTTGAAATCCTTTCGAATATTTCTAGCTTTACTTCTAAGCAAACGATAATTAACAAATTATTAATAACTCATCTAACACTGTTTATTAGAGTGTTAAGTTATTATTCAAATTATTTAACTATTACTTGCACTTTTATTTAAATTCTTATTGAGCAATTATCTCGTACAAACAAATTAGATAATCGCAAAATAAAGTAATCCAATTACTTCAAGACGATTCGTTAATTGTTTCAGAACAAATTAGATATGTTAGTTAATCTAAAAATTGTGATTAAAACATTTGGAAAACATCACGTACGACACAATGTTATTTTTCAACTATTATAAAGTATTTTAACACACACTTTCTCTTAATCCCCGAAGTATTTACTCTTGAACCAAGTCAGCAGAAACATGGTCCAAATGTTGATAAGCGTTCCAGAAAAT